TACCTCTGTGGTAAACTTAACCTCTGCAAGGTTAGAGGTTAAGTTTACCGTCTGTGGTAAACTTAACCTCTGCAAGGTTAGAGGTTAAGTTTACCACAGAAGGTAAATTGGTAGAGCTGGATTTAAGAAAGGGGAGAGGAGAGGGTTTAGGGGTTCTAAAAGAAAAAGGTTAGCAGGAATTTTGGATTCTGAAAAGGAAGAGAGGGATAAGTTAGCATTCGGGACACTAGAAACAGGGAGGAACACCAGAAACAGGGAGGACGAGTACCGCATACGTTTTCTTAGCTGAGCGACGGGGATGAATATCAGGATGATGATAAGATAGGAGTACCTAGGGTTTCTTAGCTGAGCGACTGGGATGAATATCAGGATGATAAGATAGGCGTAACTAGGGTTTAGGGTTTGGGGTTTAAGTTCATGGAGACGAGGTATAGGGTTTAGTTAAGCATTCGAAGCACGAGTTTGGGTACCAGAGGGTCCGGTCAAAAGAATAATAATGGGTAAAGTTCCTAGATCCGGCCTTTATGTGGGGTGGACAGACCCACTTTTTGGGCAAGTAATGAATGTGACGTTTCGTTAAAAAAGGAAGTGGCCTAGCTCAGTTGGTTGAGCAAGTAAGTGGTACATAGGAGGTCGTGGGTTCGATTCCCCACAATATGCATTCGATTTCCCATGGTCCCTTGTGTCGCATACTTCGGATTCGCCGACTGAGAAAGTCGGCTTGTACCTCCTGGCTGGTTGCGGAAGTTTCGTTGCTTACTTTCCAGCCCGCGGCAGGTGTCAGGAGCTTGGGTACTGCGCTCCCCGCACAGAGCAGAGTTAGGTAGGCGTCGACCCATAAAACCCTTAGGATAGCTTAGGCTTGGCGCGTAGATTTAAGGTCGGTCGCCTGACTCTCGGTAGCGTAGTTGCTTCTCCTGAGGTTGGGCTTCCGTGGGATTCGTTATCAGCCTTGTAGGGCTTGCGGGTAGAGCACAGATAAGAATAGCTAGTGTGTTGTCCTTCGGGACATCCGTTAAAATTGGAACGACACAGAGAAGATTAGCATGGCCCCTGCGCAAGGATGACACGCATAAATCGAGAAATGGTCCAAATTAAAAAAAAAAAAAAAAAAAAAAAAAGAATAGCTAGTGTGAGGGAGAAAAAAGTATTGAGAGCAGAAAATAGCGTAGGTAAAACAATACAATTGTCCCCGGTACGCGGAGAAGACAGATGTATCTATTACCAAAAAAAAAAAAGAAGAAAGGAAGTTGATGAAGCTCTGAGTAGGGAAAGACTAAGATGAACCTACTAGACTGGAGACAAAGGTAAGGAACGGTGACGGGCAGGTGCTGGAAGGCAATGGGAGGGGACTTGACACACCACAGTGGCTGGTGGACCATGCCATGTTCGCATGGCGGCCGCATGATGGTTTGATAGCAACCCAGCTGCTGCTGTCGGCCACATCCGCTGAGCTGAAATGTCAGATCAGACGCGCGATGGTGCACAGTTACAGCGGTGCAGGTTGGCAGCTGCAGCTTCCATTTTCGGGATGTCGCAGAGGTTGCCTCTCAAGACTACAATTCAGGGAGCAGCAAAGCCCCCGGGTTTTCAGTCTGGGCTATTCCCGATTCGGTCGCCGCTACCAAGGGAATCCCCTCGTTGGTTTCTCTTCCTCCGCTTAGTTATATGCATCAATTGGGCGGGTGCTCCCGCCACCCGCCCAACCCCCAATCGCCCGCCCACCTTTAGCCCGTGGGAGCGAACGGAAGGCAGTGAGCACACACACCAGAGACGAGACCTTACGTGCCGTTTTCCACGAAACAGAGACCATCATCCACAAACAGATGCTGCAGGGCAGGCCACTGCAGGTCCGAAGAATCCATGGTCGGGCAAAAGGTAGGCTCAACAAAATAGGTGCGCCATCCAGTGATGCTCCCCACCAATAAATGGAGCCTCGGTACTGAAGAGAAGAGCTGAAAACTAACGAGGTCTGCCCCAGGGCGGCGGCACGCTGCTCCAGACACAAGCTCCCCCTTGAAAGAAGGTTTGCGACAGTGCAAAAATGGCCAGACGACAGCCACAGGTGGGCATGGGTTGCACGGAGGCAGCCTCCCGCTGAACGGTTAAAACTTAGAAGTGACTGATGCTCCCCAGAATGGATATGGAGCCAGGCCCATAAGGACCTGTTTTTCTTTTAAAAAATCAAAATTAAAAAAAAAAAATTTAAAAAAAATCAAAAAAAATGGGAAAATGTTAGAATAATCAGATGGTACCCAGCCGATGGGCCGGAATGGCACACACATGCATACATAATTCTTAATAAATAGGTCGTGAGTTCAAATCCAGATGGAATCAGATGGATACAACAACAATAACAGCTACCCCCTTTGAAAAAAAGAATAGCCACATCGTTATTCAGGGATAGCTTCTTTTTGCCCAATGGATATTGGGTACAGCGAACTGGTACCAGGGGTCTTGTTAGAATAGCAAGGTTCATGCCGTCCTAAATGGCTCTGACATTTTCAGAGGTTTTAACCACCCCAACTCCTGTGGCGGTCCCCACAGAGCTCTGTCTAAGTTTCCAAATCCAATGCCTGACCCATGGAGTTCAAAATTTACCACCTGATTTTGACAGTTAGGTATCCCTACCAAGACCTGGACAAAGCCCAGAGGGATGAGCCCCTTGGGGGTGGGTGGGCGTGCAGCTTCGAGCAGTGAGACTACATTACACTCCAGGAATTCTTGTGAGGGTTCCCCGCCTAGGAGAATGCAACCTACTGATGCAAGATGAACCGGGGCGATTGATTAATTGTTCCACAGTAGACTGGAGCCAGTGGCCAGAAGGCTGGCATTTCTGGGTGCCCCTTTCTTTATCTTTGTTTCTCTTTCCGCTTCTCGAAAATTATTCTTTCCTCCCTTTATTTTCAAAGGATTCTCCAGGCAGATGATGGCCCTCGTGTCAAAAAAGCAGCAAGTGAGAAGACTAACAACTTTGGGGCCATCCACCCTCCGGGACATCCATGAACATTGGAACGATACAGAGCAGATTGGCATGGCCCCGGCGGAAGGAAGACGGGCATAAATTGAGAAATGGTCCAAGACAAAAAAAAAAACTTTTCGGTGAGACCCGCACAGGTCAATCGTTGTAAACTGGGTATGCCTGAAAATCGTCGTAAACTAGAACTCCATCCTCGTCATAATGGAGGAGGAAGAAGCATTGGTCGCAGAAGAGACAGGGTGTTGTCGGCGCCAACTTGTCCGCATACGTGACCCTGGAGGCATGGTACACCTCGCAGATCGTGCATTTGCGTTTTCGCAGTCGTGGCTGAAACTGAAGAACCGGATACTTCGCCGTATTGTGTACATCCATATCGTGGATAAGCCTCAAGTCTGAGAACTGGATTCGATGATAGCAACTGCCCTGATGGCAGTATACGTACGGGAACCCCAACCGAATACGGAGATCTTCAAAGCGAGTGCATTCCATCCTGCTACTGCCATAAGGGCAACTCTTTGGCCACTTGGAGCACCCCTCACCTGCTTCTCCAGATTGGCATGGTTGCTTACTAGCCCTGCGCCTCGCATTAGAGCTTTTTGGCTGCCGCGAGTTACCTTCACCTGCTGTTTCTCCAGCTCCCGCTCGGGACACTTGTTTGCTACCTCTGCGAGGACCCTCCGAGGCTTTTCGGTTGCCCTTTTTTTCTTGGTACGACAACAGCCGTCTCATGATGTCCTCACTGTAATCGATGGCATCTGCTCGTCGTAGGTCACTGTAAAAGGTGTTCTCAATGCAGATAAAACCCGACGGGGCATCGATATCGTGGTCCTTGGCAATTTTATCAGACGTGCAGCAGAACCGGTCGCGGAGCTGAGTTAGGTACTGGCTACCCAAGACCTGAAACTCCTGTGCCTTGATGTTTCGCTTTTCATGATGGTAGAGTGCAACCCTAAGGACTACTTCCCCTGCGGACACGTCGTCACGCAATTCCTCCCCAGGCATCGGGGCATCTCCTGGTTCAGAGCTGTTGTCAGCGCCGTCATCTTCTGCTACTGCTTTGCCTCGGCCTTCCGCCTCGCGGTGATTGCCGCGAGCACAGACTTTCAACGCCGGTGGGGCACGTTCCTTGGAATCTGTCAAGCAGCGCAAATTGGATGCACTCTTCATGGCATCTCTCTTCTCGCGTATGCGGGTCACCATCGCCTGACGTAGCATGGCATCAGCGCTGCCACCGTCTCCACTGACCACATGAGAGATCATGTGCTTCAGATGTTCGGGCAGACGATCTCTATTTTTTTGGCTTTGTCGGTCTGTCTTCGCTCTCTTCTGACTTGGTTGTTCTGTATCTTCATCATCGCTCGCTGGTTTCCTCTTTTTCCTCCTCCCTCCTGTGGCTGGTGGGCGTTCCTGTTCTCGTTCGAGCACCTGCGCTCCTGCAGAGCTTTCCTCCGCAAGCACTACTCCTTTGCGCCTCTGTTGACGTTTCTGTCCTTGCATCTGTGCTGGCTTCGACATTCTCTGGCGTCCTTTCCCTCTTCTCCCGTTGCCACTGGCATTCTTCGCTGCTGCCGCATCGCCATTGTCATAATCAGACATCTCCCCTCCCAAACCACCTTCGCCTTGCGCATGGCCCATTTGTGCATCCGCGTCCTCATTCGCCGTCGCCGGGGGGGGCAACTGTGGTTGTGGTTGTGGAGCAGAAGACAGTGATACGGATGTTATCCCTCCGTTCCCCTGCCCGTTCGGTCCACTTCTCGTCATCTCAGGTGGAGGGAGGCAATCGACAGGCTGCTCGTGCGCGGGACTGCTCCTCCGCAAACCATCAACGCGATGTGCATCTACACGAGTCGGGCATTCTGAGCTTTGTTCACAAGTGTTGCCTGTTTCATTTGGTCCGCAATCCAATTGAGTCTGCAGACAGGACAGCTTTTTCCCCTGCAGATCATTTCCCACGCTGTCCTTTGCACCAGGAAGAAGGGCTGGCGTTCCATTGGACTCTGTTCTAGCATGGTTATCATGATTACTGCCTTCAAGAACAGCTGCAGTTCCCGTCCCAGGAGGGAAAGTAGTACCTGGTCCTTCCTGGGGACCAAGGGCGGTTCTAATGCCCAGTGCACCTGGACCGCTCTGGCTCGCTGGCGGACAAGTTCGATTGTCTGTGGCACAAGCCACTGGCCCACTATCTTCCTCCATCGTAGAGGGCAATCTATGGGCATGGACTGAGCTTGCTGCCGAGTTTCGCTGCTCAGGCTGCTCGGCACCGACGGCTCCGTTCATGCCCGGCCCGTCATCTTGGCAGCAGCTATTCAGCTGTTGTCGATCATCATTGAAACTGGGAGGACTCCCCGGGCCAGACGGCGTTTCCAAAGGGTCCCCTGCAGGGTTTCGCCTCAAGGTACTAGATTGCTCAGGACCATCTTGTTCTCGCTCACGGTTTCCCCGTAAACCCGCCTCATCGCAACCCCCTGACAGACATTGATCATTCCTAAGATCATTCACTGGTGAGGAGGATGGACCCCCTACCAATTCCTCATCCGCGGGAGGAGGCGGCTCATGGATGGTCGTTGAAACAGCGCGTGAATCAGGAGGCTCGGAGAGCAGACGCTGCTCTAGTTCCCGTTTTAACGCTTCCTCTACTTGTTCTTCCACGGTAGGTATCCGAAGATCGTGCACACTTATATCAGGTCCCACGGCTGGAAGTTCTATTCCGTCGAGAAAACCAATAAGATCCTCAACTGCCCGCTTGCAAGCAATCTTGAATTCAAGAACATTGGTTAAATCCGTTGAAAACCCTGGTGCGATGACTGGACCTCCAATTGCTCCCACCAAAGCATCAGAGTCGAAAGCACGCTGCAAGTCGTCACAGTCGTTGCTCTGAAGCGAACCAGAAGTCCACGGCGATGCCGACTGCTCTCGCAGACCAACCATCGTCTCTGGGATTGCCGGTATTCAGAGAAAAAAAACATCCGCCGCCTTGCAAGTCAACTCCCAAAAAGCATCATCTTCATTTCAACCATAGGGAGGCGCAAAACTGGACTTACTCTGTCGGGTTCAGCATCCGAGATCCATGAACCCAGCCGTCTGCATCATCCTGTTACGATGTGGGCAGACTCTGACAGGTCAGCAAATCGAGCAAACAAGCGATCAGCCACGTAAATTTTTGGAAAAAGATGAAGTTTCAGAGACATGACCACAGAAGTTCAGGGAGATCGAAGGGAAGGATCACAGAGACAAACCTTCTCCGTCCGGCCTACCTCAGCTGCCCATTCCAGCTCACATGCGAGCCACCTTAAAGATTGGACCAACCAGCATAGTGCAGATGGTACACCCATGTAGCCGTTGAAATACAGACCCGAGTTCGAATCCAGATAAAATCAGATGAACAGAATAAGATTAGTTCTGAGTTGCCTCGGCCGGTCAGTGCAGTAACCTTAAACTTTGTGGGTGAACATACCTGTTGATGCCAACTACCTTCGTCCCCTAAACAGAATGCCTCATTATCATATGGCCATATACAAACCCCCGCGTTCAGATGCTTAAAAAATATATGACAATAGAAAAGTCACTAGTAGCTCAGTGGTTAGAGCAAATGGCTGTTAAACCACCAGTACTTCCCGAAGTCGAGTCGCGGCTTGCACGCTGTCAGCCATTGCTACACTGCAGTGGCGTTTCCACTTGAATCAAGTTCCCCAGGCCCATTCATCCCAGCACGTCAAGGCACGCATGCTGCTGCAACTTTCAGAAGAGTATTGGTGGGTTTTTTTCTTTTTTTTTTGAAGTATGGGAAATTTTCGAAATGCCCTTGAAGTTTGCATTTATTTGCGATTTGCCCCTCCGACGGCCAACTAGGCCCAACTTACCCTGATTTGCCCCTCTGACAGTGATTCAAGTTTCCAAAAAAACCCTGGCATCGTTTGGGCCTGAGACATTTTCAAGATGCCCATACCGGTACCGGTGCCAAATTCCCAGTTTGCCCCTACCAGATAGCCATTCAGTACAGGCAGAAGAATTTTCCATATGCCCCTACTGGTACTGCGCATCTTTTCGGTATGCCCTTCTGGCCGTTGCTGGCAGTAGCGGCTGTTCCCCTGGCCCAGTTTGCCCCTACTGGATAGTGTGTGTGTGTGTGTGTGAGTGTGTGTGTGTGTGTGTGTGTGT